AAGCCACATTTTCTGCCAATTAATTTCTCCATAAAGTGAAGTCCAGAAGAATTATACATTGTATGCAGTTCCTGATATATTTATTTGAACATTTATGTTTAGTAATGTAAATTTCTCCAAGGAATATACTACTATTAATTGGTTGGATCATTGAGACCTCAATAGCCGAACCTCTAAGAAGTTACAGCACACTCCTTGGCACAGCATCAAAAACCACTGCAAATTCTTTTGGCATAACTGGTAAACTGAATTCAGAAGGAATTCCTCATAAGTTAGTAACTGCCCATTAGCATTGACAAGCTGTTTAACTAATACAACACCATTGGCAACCCATGTTTCATAATATAGTGATTTATATTTATGTTGAATATTCTTGTTGTTCCAAATGTAGTAATTAGTTGGTGAAAAATTATGCTTGTAAATTAACTTCCAAGTCAGCAGAGCTTGTTTATGAAAATTTGATGACTTTACAGGAAATTTATCAATTTCAGGTGTGGTGCTACCACACCTGAGCGGACTTGTGCACTCGGAAGAAAGACTTGCCACCAGCAACACGTCGCTGACAGTTTGAGGCGATGCGTTCTTGCTTGTATTGCGCAATAACTCAAGCAAAGTGAGTTTACACGTTTTCCCACAGTGTGTCCCACGGCCTCATCGTAGCCTACTCCTCCCAGGGGGGAGGATAAAAGGGCATAGAAAGAAGAAAAAGAAAGCATAGACTGTAACTGTGAGAACAGACGCCTCAACATAAAGCCTAATGGAAGTTCCTGGATCGCTGGGCCTAAGTATTTTACTGTTTGCAGTAACTGTCACAGGTACGTTCTTGTTCTCTCCTTACTGATTTAATATATTTATGTTTACTGTAGGCTCCATGTTTAGAGCTGATGTCAGAATTAGGCCTATAATCTTGTATGAGATGTGTTTATCGGCTTATTTGCCGAGAATTCATCCTGAAATATTGCATGCATCATTGCATTGCAACGATGTGAAGTGAGCTTCAGTCTAATGCGTTTGTGAAAACCGGAATCTATGATTGTAGTTGCTCTACAGCCCAGACATTTTATGTTCAGTCCGACTGTCTTGAGCCTGTTTCTGATCATTGGTCTCAAACACTTAATGCACCACATTGCTTTTTAAATATAGGCTACTATTTAGGCTTATTTGAGCGGTAGACTTTTTCCCTCTGAAGTTATAGTCTACTGAGAGGAGCAGCTCATGCAGATAAAGTTGGATCTGTTGCAAATAGCCTAACGGATTTTGATCAAGGAGAGGCTCGGTCCAATGAAAATTAACAAAAATATTTAATTTAAAAAATGAGTGAATACAGAGATAACATTACAGAACAAACAAAAACACTGCAGTGGACTGAAGAAGCTTCTCTGTAAAGATCTGAAGTTTCCAGTCACCAAATAGCCTACTGCCGCACAGCAGTAGACCGGGAAGTTGCTTTGACTCACTGATTCAAAGCTGACAGTCCCGATTGTATCAAAATATGTTGTTAATATCCTACGGGTATGTTCCGGTCCTTTTTCCTCCAAATGGCTCAGGACCATAGCCAATGGTCGTTTGGTTACGTCTTCGTCACCCAATTAGGATATGAACAATGTGTTATCTGTCATCTGTTGTTTTATTCTCCTATGTTTTTTAACATTGTTTTTTTTTATTGTTTTTTATACAGCCTACTTTCACTTGCATGTTCGCAATAAAGATTTCAAAAAACAATGGTTTAATTAACATTCTGCAATTGTCTGCCCTAAAAACCTGCAGTTTTACATATGAAGGAACAGTACATTAAGTTTGTTGTAACTTTTTAAAATTTAACAGGTCTGGGGTCTGTACCACGAAGTAGGATTTGAGCTTATCCAGGTAACTCCGGGTTAATCCTGGGTTTTCAGCATCACGAAGGTGGTTGACTTCTTACTGGCGTAGATCACCATGGTAACTTATGCTGAAGGGCTAACCTGCTCCGGAAGTTATGTTCCAGATAAGAGATCAACTCTATGAAAATGCCGCCTACTGACTATCAGCTCTCTTGGAAAATGACATCACCATCGGAAAATCCCACAGACTCTTTCAGCCAACAAGCTGCTTTATGTTTGCAGCGGTGATTTGGAGAAACTCTTGGCTATACCGATATCATCCTACAGAGACTGATTGAAAGCCTTAGGCTATATTGCCTACAGGTTTTTACAGTAGGCTGAGCCTATTGACTGCTTTGAAATGTGTTTAATATTTGCTCCCAGTTCGTTTCACATACCCTGACGCAGCCGTTAAAATAAATAGGCCTAGGTTTTATTTTTCTTATGTGAGGCTGAATATTATGAGCAGTTTGGTAGGGATATTGAAATACTAAATTTTAATATGAACGTGGGCTATCTATTTAGGCTAGTATAGCTTTCAAAGGCCTACCACAGAGACTGTAGTCATGTTCCTCCCACCTGAGTTTTCAGCAGCATAAATGTTGAGATTCAGTCTTTCAGCCGCTATTTGAGCACATTTCATGGCATGAATGGAGCTTCGTTTCATTGCTTTATGAAGTTAATTTAGAACAATGTTTGAAACACTTTTGAGTGTGTTAAATAAATTAATCTAATTTTTAAAGTGAGGTGGAACGACCCTTTTAATGTGGAAACGCCGACACAGCAGAGCTGAAAGAATAAGGCTGATATTTTCACAGGCTAGGCCACAGCTCATAAAAGTCAACGCAATATTATAGACTACTGTTCATTTCTGTCCCCCTGCATGTGTCAGCTGCAGGCGTGCTACTGTCGTATTTCTGTAGTGTTACAGTTTAATCCTCGTTCATAAAATATGACGCTCCTCTGACAGTGGACTTGTTCGTGTCTGTGATTGGTCATCTGCTGCTAACACCGCCTCTTTTATGTGACGTCAATCCAGCCGGGAGCGCGTTCACAGACTGGTCTTTAAACATTGTATATTGTAAGAAGTCGACCATTGCGACAACTTTGATTTCAGTCTTCGGGAGTTCTGGCCTGAGTGGAGGCGGAGGATCCAGCTACAGAACGGCGACCGAGCTCGACAAAGACGAGGAAGTGCTTGCGTGGACCGTGTTGGTTTCACACCGTGGTGAAGTTAGCTTTAAGTTGGATATTCGACAGACATTCACCCAGGATCCAGTGACGGCTTTTTAGTCAGTTCACCCAGTGACGGTTGTGTAAGTGCGGTTAGCTCACCTCTGATGGCTCGCTTTTAACCAACGGGGATTAGCTTAGGGACCATCAATAAATTACAATTGTGAGAACAGTGTTATGGGAGAATCATTATTTATTTCAATAGCTTCCAATTCATGTGACACAGGGATTTCAAACCAATGCCGAATTGTAGTACTACACTAGGCAAATGAGACACACCCCTTCATATTTGATTTGAGTGCATATTCGAATTTATATGAATATTTATTCATAATGTATTGAAAAAAGTGCTGTTTTTTTTCAATAGCTTCCAAGTCATGTGACACAGGGATTTCAAACCAATGCCGAATTGTAGTACTACACTAGGCAAATGAGACACACCCCTTCATATTTGATTTGAGTGCATTTTTATTTTATATGAATATTTATTCATAATTTATGTAAAATAATGCCTTTTTTTTTTCAATAGCGTCCAAGTCATGTGACACAGGGATTTCAAACCAATGCCGAATTGTAGTACTATACTAGGCAAATGAGACACACCCTTTCATATTTGATTTGAGAGCATATTCGACTTTATATTATTTATTCATAATTTATGTAAAATAATGCCTTTTTTTCAATAGATTCCAAGTCATGTGACACAGGGACTTCAAACCAATGCCAAATTGTAGTACTATACTAGGCAAATGAGACACACCCCTTCATATTTGATTTGAGTGCATTTTTTATTTTATATGAATATTTATTCATAATTTATGTAAAATAATGCCTTTTTTTTTCAATAGCGTCCAAGTCATGTGACACAGGGACTTCAAACCAATGCCGAATTGTAGTACTATACTAGGCAAATGAGACACACCCCTTCATATTTGATTTGAGTGCATTTTTTATTTTATATGAATATTTATTTATATTTTTTTCTTCAATAGATTCCATTTCAAATGATTCAGGGACTCAAAACCAATGCCGAATAGTACTACTACATTTTCATGTCATTTTCTTCCACAGCATTGAGCAGATTTCAAAGAAACACTTTATTTACACAACGGACATTCCCAGTTTCCTTTCTTTGCCTCTTCATATTGTGTGCTGTCCATTTCCACACACTGAGCATGGAACCACCGTTCACAGCCATCACACTGGACCTGTGGAATTAAAATAAATCTTTCGTAACATATTTATTTATATATATATTTATTTCAATGTCTGTTGCTTAGATGTAGAGCGGTTGTCCACTACATGGAAGATATATGCCCCCTCTGTATTTGCTCAGAAGGCTGTGCCATTGTTGTGTTAGTGTGTGTGAACGAGTATTAGTTTCTTTCTCATCAGCAGTTTGCACCTTGCATTTATTTCTCTGCTATCGTTGTATGAATGTGTGTGTGAATGGGTGACTTATTTTTTTATTTAGTGTAAAGTGCTTTGAGTGGTTTATTACAAACCAAGGTGTGTATACAAATCGGTTTGACCTTTGTGTTAGTTGACTTTTCCTCAGCCATACTCAAGTAGGTCTACAACACAATTAAACATGATATCACTGAAAAGTCAACTAACACAAAGGTCAAACCGATTTGTATACACACCTTGGTTTGAACAGAGGCATTTGTTAAAAATGTTCTGAAAAATAGCTTGCAACAAGCGATGTTAAACAACAAATGTAAGTGTTATGAGAAAGTTTTTTTGGCATAAGAAAACATGCAATGCAATGTAAATATAGAGAAATCAGATCTGCATTATCCCAAAAAAACTACTTAAGCTAAAAACAAAACAATTTACTGATTACTGCATTATATTAAATTATATTTTTGTATTTTGAATTGTCACCTGCTACCTGAATTTTGTGTTCCGCTTTAAATAAATGAATACATTTCCACTATAATTTGGTGCAAAGAAATGTCTCCAAAATGCAGGAAATTAAGTGTTTAATACTCATAATCTTTATGTATTTTCATCAATGAATATTTCTTTAAATAGTATTAAAATATCTTCTAGTCTTGTTCTCGTGACCCCAATATTCTGGATTGTCACGTCTCGTATGCTAAGTGTTTTGTCACAACTCTTATCTGAGCCCTTTAATGTCCCCACCACTTTTCGGCTCAAAGTGACACCCTTTCCCACCTGTAACCTTCATCGGCTGTTAAAGTCTTTGCAGTGTTGATAACACACAGCCTAAGCAGTCCTTCAGAATGCTCTCTATGTACATGCATACTGTATGTATTAGTGAGTGTAGTGATGCTTATGGGACGTCGCTCTGGGACGGGTGAGTATGAGGCTGGGAGGGAAAAATCACAATATACTCACTAGAAAAACTAAACTACACCAATGCTTTGGTGGCATCCCCACTTCATTTAAACTTTGAGGGCAAGTGGATTTGTGGCTTTTGCAGAAACCAGGCTGTTCTTCAGAGGCTTTCAAACTGTTTAAATATAATGTTTGTTTCCTCAGGAGAGCCTCCTGCCATGTACCAGACTCAGCTGATAAAGGCAGCAGAAGGTGGTGATGTGACTCTTCAGTGTCGTCTGGATCCTCCGGTCAACCTGTCTGCTTTCACTGTGGACTGGACGAGACTTGACAACAAGGATATCGTCCACGTCTATCGTCATCAACAGGACGATCCTGATCCACAGACGGATCAATACAGAAGCAGGACGACTCTCCTCCATGAAGACCTGATCAGAGGAGTCCTGACTCTGCACATCTCCTCAGTGAAGCTGTCTGACAGAGGACTTTACAAAGGCTTTGTCCCAAAGCTGAAGACCAGCTGTGTTGTTGACCTCATTGTTGGTGAGCATGCTGAGTTTAATACTGTTCAGGTTCATTTAATTCAAAGTGTATATAACGTTGTTCCTAAATTAGACCTCTCTCATTAGAAATGGTGGGAAAAGACCAGCAGAACGAGACAAAGAGAGATTATTCCAGCACAACTGGACCTCCAGAGGAAGAAGAGACCGAGCCAGACGGTCGTGGTAAATGTCTTTGAATATTTCTTTCTTTGTTCAACTTTATTCTCTCTGAGTGCAAGATGATCTGCTGTGTGGAAATGTGCAGCAGGTCTGAACATTTAATGTGAGCATTTTTACACAATTAACACATCAAGTTTTGGACAGTTTTGGTTTTATGTGATTTTTTTTTAAATACAATTTTAGCACAACAAATAAAATACATTTTTGCCAGTGACAGCTTGACAAGTGTCAACATTATGGAAAGGATCCCTACAGAGAAACTGAGATCCTCTCTGTTTAACTAGAAACAGTCACTAAATCGCTCTTGTCAAAGCCACCAGACTCCATTCAAAAACAGTAAGTTTACTCCATTACGGGAGTATCAATGTTTGAAAAAAGGTTAGTGTAAATGAAACACCACTAAATGTAACCGTCATCTCAGTGGCTTTTTGCTTTTAAGAAAACCAGAGCAAATTAAAACCACATTTACTCAGGCTGAAATGTGAGACATGAATTTGTTCTTTACCTATTTCCTCAGCAGGTAAAAACCAACAAACACCTTCTTCCTTTAACTAGTGTCACAAACTACTTTTCTTTCTCTCAGAGAAGTGTATGAAAAGGCTCGGAGGATGGAAAGAGCAAAAAACAATAAACCACGGTTATGCTGCGCGATCATGCGCAGTAGACGCTGGTGCTAACAGGAAGTGGCCCTGTAGTAGTATTTTATTTGTCCAAAACTGGCTTCACTGCTCTCCATTCAAATCAGCGGGGTGGCTTCGTCCAGTAATATACTGTCTATGCTTCTAACCAGCATACTTTATTTTAAGTCCAGCATGCATCACATTACACCTATAGACTATAGGTGCGTTTGACATGCAGCGCTGCACAAACCGTCACCATGTCATGGCAGCTGCACAAAGTTGGAACTGCACTTTTGCCTGGTCTCAGATCACCGTAAGCTCACGCAGGTAGACTGCGTCTGAATTGACGGCACCGTTTTTAAACCCCGCCACTGCAGTCGCCTGCAGCTCACGTTGGACTATGAAGTCGGTGAGAGTCAGCCGCCATCATCTCGAACGCACCTTTCTATGAAGGAGTCACTGGCGGACATCTGCAGAGAATTAGGATCTGCAGTTTTTCAGCCATGCGTGTCAATGTTCTTATTTCCCGTTCGATCGTCACTACAGCATCATTAAGATCTGTGGATTATGGGTTGCTCTGGATAATTAGGATTACTACTTGTCCTCCACTGTATTGTGGTGAGGCAGATGTCTTGGGGACAGAAATCTGAAAAACCAGGACAAATAAAACCATCAGTGTGGTTGAACACCACTACAAGTAATGAGAAAATGCTGCATGAGCTGTACACCAAACATGAATTAGTGAAATAAGTAAATAAATAGTGGAATAAATATCATAATGAGTCTGTGCTGGTTCTCAATTCAGTATCCTCTGACATCTCCTCCAGATGGTAGAAACAGAGAGACTGCCCGCGCTGTTATCATTTCCACTGTTCTCCTTCTTTTTGGAGTTCTGATTGTGGTTCTGGTGAAACGTGGAACGATCCGTAAGTTACAGAACAAACTCTCCCCCACTGACTTTTAGTATCAGTTAAAGACCTGCTGTGTGAGCGGGTTTGTTGCTGTTAGAAACTACAGGAGCTGAGATTAAAGAATAGGAAATATTTTGATTAATAGCGTTGTAAACATTTTTAATAAAGTTTAAATAAACTTGTTTCCATGTTCTCAGAAAAAAGTATGACGAGGCTCAGAGGACAGGGGGAGCAAAAGTCGGAGGCGGCAAACGGCTGTGAGCTGAAACATCTGAGGACTTCATCAACAAACAGTGACCCCGATGCAGGCAACTTGAACAATGTGCAAGTAGTAAAGTGATGGCCCAAACCATCAGGTCATTTTCTTTAAAGAATATATTTGTTTAATTGTCAGCCCTCCAAAAATCAGCAACCTTTCATCCTTTTAATATTAATCGTGTCTGTTGCTCTTATCCATAAATTCATGTACATGAGGGACGGTGCTATACACAAGAACAAAGATTGAAAGATACCAAAGTAACCTTATAATAACCTTAACACCTTCATGACTGCCTATCAAAGAGTATAGAAGGCAACAAGGTAATTCAAAGTGTTTTAACTAAAACATAAAAGCCACATAGAGAAATATAAAGTTATCAAACTAATGTTAAAAGTCAATTAGAAATTTAAAACGGGACAGTTCAAGTTATTAATCTACAGCATTGTTTGGTTTAATTAGTGGCAGTGATAAAAGAAAAGTCTTCAGTCTTGATTTTAAAAGAACTGAAAGTTTCAGCAGACCTGCAGTTTTCTGGGAGTTTGTTCCAGATATGGAGAATAGAAATTGAACACTGCTTCTCCAGGTTTAGTTTTGACAGACAGGAAGCCAGTGTAAAGACCTCAGAACTGGACTGATCCACTTTTCTGGTCTTAGTGAGGACTCGAATCAGCTGCAGCTGTCTGATTCAGGTTTTAGGGAGATCTGTAAAGACACCGTTACAGCAGTCGAGTCGTTTTGAAGATAAATGTATAGACACGTTTTTCCAGGTCCTGCTGAGACATAAGTCCTTTAATCCTTGAAATATTATTCAGGTGATAGTAGGCTCACCTAGTCTTTATGTGGCTGCTGAAATTCAGAAGCTTCATTGTCTCCTTTGTGCTTCGCTTCTGTTACAAACTGGGTGGGTGGCGATGGCGCAATGGATATGACTATGCCTTTCGAGTGAGAGACCCGCGTTCAATCCCCTGTGTTTGACCCATACACCAATGTGTCTCTGGGCAAGACACTTAACCACTAGTTGCTCCAGAGGTGTGCGAATGCTGACATGTATAGCAATCGCTTTGGATAAAAGCGTCAGCTAAATGAATAAATGTAAACTGGATGTCTAAACATTTCCTTCATCTCAATTCTGATAAAACTGACGTCCTCGTGATCGGCCCTGATGGTTTCACTAAGAAGTTCAGGCACTTTATTGGCCCCCTCACTATCAACATCAAGACCACCTGGTACTTTTTTTCTTCTTCATGCATTTGAACTGTGAACCCCTCATCACTACACTCGTTCAGTAAACCAAACCTACATTTTAAGCCAAACACATGAAACTTCTTGTGCTCATCCTAATCTGTTCTTGTTTAGACTGGAACTTCTCTTTACCTTCATTGCACTCTGCTGAAACTCTACAGGTTGGCCTTTTATAAAACACTGTTTGCCTTAAGTTTTGTTTATTGTGCTTTAATCATTCTGTGTATCATGTGTAATGTATGTGTTAATATATGGTTGGTGATGTATGTGTATTTGCATTTGTGTATCCTATCTGTGAAGCACTTTGTTACTGTCTTAAAAAGCTTTATATAAATTAAGAATAAAATAATTATTATTGGACTCCCAGCAGCTTTTATATAGTAAGTTTAATTTGTTTCTCTCAAGGTGGTGGTTTTAGCTCCCTACAGGTGACACAAACTGTTGCATGAGGTCTTCCATCACCTACTGGCTTTTAAAGCAAAATGCGATTTGGTAGTATATTTTTGTACTGTTTCAACACTATGAATCACTTTCCCTTGAGTTTTAAATTAAATGTGCAATATCCATAAAGTCATCATCATTTTGTCCCTCCTTGGTCTTCATATCTCTGGGACAACCGATTAAATCCACTTGAATGGTTTGTAAGAAAACCTCAAGTCTTGACTAAGTAGTAGTAGAGGTTCTTTTGTAGTCAAATAATCACATCTGAATACTTGGCATCCGTAACAAGTGTCATTTTTTTTTTAAATATAATACTTTCGATGGTTTTATTCTAATGGTGCTTTCCGACCAAACGCGAATCTTCGCCTCGCGACGCTTTCCTCGCGTGAGTACATTCACTACCATACCTTCCCGCCGCCCAACAGGAAATCGCGGCTCTACGCGTCTTTGCATTGACTTTGTATGTAAAATCACTGCCCGAACGCTCACTTCGCTTCACTTTGGCCCCACCTTCAGACTAAACTGATTTTAGTAAAATGTGAAATAGGTCCTACTCCTAAATTCTGCATCAGAGACGTCTGCAAAAGCAAAGAAGTTATAGGTAGTGAATTGTACTCAGTACATCAATACTCATTCTGCGGGTATCACAGTTAAACATGAAGATCTGCTGTAGCTTTCAGCTGTAAGTGTCTAAATAGTTTTGTGTAGCCTCGTTTAAACTTCATCCAAGCATATTTTGTTTTTCTGTGTGAAATCTGAGTCTGAAGATTACAGCTGTCTGATGAAAATACAGTGAAGTACAAAAATGCCTTTTCTAATGAAGAAAAGTATAGTTTCAAAAAATGCAAATACTTGTGTGAAATAGTAATCTAAAAATATTCAGTGCTTGTAAGAAGTATTAACCACGGTGGAACATGTTTTATTGTTTTACAACATTGAATCAAAGCAGATTGAAAGTCACAGTGAAAACAGAACAACAGAATGATCAAAATGTTTAACAAATATAAAATACATGTTGTATTCACAGCCTTTAACAGGACAGACCTAAATCAACACAGGTGCAGACAGTCTGTTTCAGAAGTCACGTCATTAAGTGGAGATCACCTGTGTGCAGCCATATGGGGCGAGTTCAATCTCAAAACGTTTTGCACCGGTTTGCAATGTTTTCAGATTGAACGGCATGTTTCCTTGAAACGTTGCGCAACGTTCTGCAACAGGCTTCGAGGTATGTTTGCTCCCGTTTGGTGGGCGTTAAACAGCCAGAAAAATGCAGTGTGCTTGCTACACAACAGGGTGTTCAGGGGACCACCGTTTCCGTTGAAAAGAACGTTTAGCTACGTTTTGTCTGCGCTGAACTCGCCCTGGTTTCAGCTGATTGTAGTATAAACACACCTGAACCTGGACGGTCGTTTTCATGTAACAGTGTTGAAAAGGGTCAGAGTATCTGTAGATAATCCGTAATTTGTTTGTAATACAAAAACGAAAAACCAACTAAAACGGTCCGTTTTTCGTTTTTTGGTCATTCATTTTATCGTTATTCCTTTTGGAACAAATAATGAAGAGAGTCTGTGAAGGTCTGGGTATCTGTGGATAATCTGTAATTCAAAAACGAAAATACCTTTTTTCTGTTTTTTGTTTCAAAAACCAAATAACCGTTTTTGGTGTCAGAATCAAAAAACGAAAAAAAAATTTTTTTAATCGTCCCGTTTTTCGCTTTTGGCTTTTTATTTTATTGTTATTCATTTTTGAACAAAGAATGAAGAGAGTCTCTGAACTTCAGTCAACTTGTTTTTCGTTATAAACCAAAAACGGAAGTCACGTGGTCTTTTCCTTTTATGGAAGTGAAAGCAACCGGTAAAATCTTCAAAATAAAAGTAGCCCATGTGACATCTATTAGAAAGGTGATTTTAGACTAAAACTAAACTAAAATAAAGTTTTTTTTAGTAAAACTAAAGTAGAGTACAGCACTGTTAATGTGTTTCTATCTTTATCCTTGCAGACATGCTGCAGCATTAAGACAGTGTGAGGGACGTGTGTGGACAGATTGATTCAATGCTGTGTGTTGCTTGTTTTGTGGGACATGCTTGATATGTTAAAAGGAAGAGAAGTCCTGCTCTGAGTCTGCTGGTTTGTATCAGATGTGAGAAAATGTCATTAGAAGTTGCTTTTGGTATTCTGTGATGTGACACAGGGAATATCCAGAAGGTTTTTCTTCTGAGGTGTTTGTGAATGAATGACTTAATGTCCAAATAAAGCTTTGTGTTCATCTGACTGATGGCTCCTCAGATTGTTAACTGGCAGTAAAGGCTGCTCTGTAGAAGACTGAACAATGTGCTCAGACTTTTTCATCTGTTTAGGGGAGTTTGGCCCCGGTCCCCTTTAGTAAAAAGACAAACAAAAAAACTACCGTGTTTGAGTATTGACAGCTAGCTGCTTTATAACTCTGATAAAACTAAATATTAACCGATGGTTCGAGTTTGATAACAAGTCTAGCTGTTTAAATTTAAGCTTGTATATCACTGACTTAGTTGGCCTGTGTGGTTATCCATTTTCTTGTTGTGATGGTAGGCTTTCGGCCTGGTAATGCCACAATCTAGTCTCACTCTCTCTTAATGCATTGTGTCGCAGTGTGGTCAGGGAGCAGATTTTGGATGGTAGGCCTCGAGGATGATGTATAATTGTTTTAACTTTAGTGAACACTTTTTAAATTGTTTTTATAACAGGCATTTTAAGCCACCAAGACCCTGTAGACTGCATGGCCTGTTTTGCCTGAGTTCACCACAGAGGCGGCCGTGGAGGTTGATACCCTGAGTTGCCTTAAACATCTGCTCCTTGAATGAGGTGGAGTCAGAGCTGGTGGATGATTTACTGCATTAGTTGAGGGTTGTATAGCCGCTGCTGTTTTGCTGCCTGATCTGCTGAACTGCTGATTTTTGTGCCCTGATTTTAAATGTAGATTTAAAATCAGAGCTTTTTATGAGACTCTGTTACAGGTGGATGGGCCCTGTGAATGTTTTTGCTAGGTTCTGCTAAGGGTGGGGCAGTTTGCTTGTTTTTGGTCTGCGTGACTTCCCTCAGCCCTTCTCCCTCTTCTTCCAGTGTTCTGACAGGGTGGTGGACTGTGGGAGCCCCTCTTCCCTTCACTGCATGTTGTGGTATGTGTGGACCTTTAACTGAGCCTTATTGTGTGGGGTTTTATGTGTGTGACTTGCTGTCTTTAGGTGGTGACGCACACCTGTGGTGGGTGGTGTCAGGTCATCCTGGTGGCAATTTTGCTTTGGTAACAGTTTGCTTTTATCCTTCAGCATCTCTGCAGCATGTGTGATGTGATAATGTGAAGACTCTTGGATCTGAACGCTCGACATGGGCCCACAAGTGTTGTAGCTTTTTAACTAAATCTCCATCTGTTCACTGCAGAGGCTCTAACCACAACCTGGAGAAGGAACTAGAGTAAATGACTACTGGTGTAATTTAACCTTAACATTATTTACACTTACAGATTTTCTTCACTAACCCACTGTGCTTGTAAATCATTTCTGGGCATATGTGAGTGAAAGCGTTGCACTGCAGAGCCCTGCTTCACTGTACTATTGTACATACTAGCCTGCTGTATATGATATAAATGTGTATTAAAAGACAGAAGTTGACATCATCCTTATTTACAAAAACAGTGCCCAATTACAAGGTGTGGTTCCCATAAATCGTTAATTCAAGACTTGGGCCAGATAAGAAAGCTTGAACTCTTACCAACATTTTTATTATCAACAAAAACAGACACCAATTAGACCACAAAAGTTCCACCGGAGTGTGTCAGAGATCGGTGCAAAATAGAGTCCCACTCTGTTACCAGAACAGAGTCCACATGAAAACCATGTAACGACTGACTTTCACCTTCTTTTGGACCTCCTTTTATAGCTCTGTTTCTTGGCTTCACATCATCTCTTGGCTCTCTTTCCTGCTGCACCTGAATCTGGGAAAGTCCCTGACTGCCTGCTCCTCCTCTCTGTGTCCTCTGCATGAACTCTGCTTGATCATGCCATTTCATCCATAACCTGACTTTTGTGGAATAAACTGGTGTTGTTTGTGCTCTGTGCCAGAAACAGGACATTCTTACTGTGATGGACTATATTAATGTATGTTTTGTAATACAATTTGCACAAAATCTACTTCTATATTTTCCTTTGCAGGTGTTTTTGATGCTGCCTCACTGTGCTCCCTCCCTTTTCTCCCAAAGCACACGAACTTGCTCACACACACACATGTGCCTGGGCAGTTAGATACAAAAAGGAGCACATACACTCAGAGCTGTAGAGTTTTAACACTGTGATCCTAATTTTACACTATAAAATAACACTTTAAATGATGACAATGTAGACCACCATTGCTCCAGTAATTAATTATAAAAATTTAGGCTATAATGCTCCAAAATAATTCACAACAAGGAAGGAGTGGTGTTCTGATTTGTCCTGCCAGTCCAGCATTTATCTGAACAGAGAGTGATGGTAGGTGATGGGGCCTTGATACTATCATCAGTCCTCAAACCTGCACAGGCTCACACCCTCCAGGTACTGGGGAAAATCTGGGAGGTCCTGAGATGAGTACCAGGGAGAAAAACTAAATGATTCAACTTCACTTTTATTTTACTTTACACAAGTACAAACAGGACAGATCACGGCCTTTATCTAGTTCAAACAGAATTAAACCCAAAAAAGCATTAAAAGATCTGAAAGCCCGGGAGCTATTAATGCTCACCAGGTTTCACACATAAGTATGCCTAACTTATGAGAACTACAAGCTGCATTAAAAATATTTAATCTACTTAACATAAGTAGTTTACACAGGCGAAAATAGGAAAGGAAAATAAGTTTAGAACTCGGCAGAGTTGTTTTGGAAGAGTTTTGTTCTGACTCATAACAGCAGATGGTGGAAGCTGAGAGTTTTTAGCAGCTCCACAGAAAGAAGCTGGAGGAAGGTGAAGTTCTGCACACCCTTCAAGCTCAGTGATCAGCTTCCTCTGGTCGCAGTGCAGCCTTCTCTGTGATAGAAACACAAGTCAAAAAGTCAAAAGCTTGTTGGCTGTTGGCGCCACAGAAGGACTCGTGCACAGAAGGGGGCAGAGTGCCCTCTGCTGGTGGAGCTCACACACAGCATGAAGGCTTAAAATATTATATGTTATATGTGTTCAGAAACTAACAAAGTGCTGTTTAAAAATTCCTCAGTGTTTTCATCAGGGAAAAGAATCTGAAATCCACCTGGAATTAATTACTTTATTTTGAGCAGAGACGAAATTATATTGTGTAGCTTATGTTTACTTACTAGTTGATGTAAATAATTACATTAAAATGTATAATGGATTCACTACATGTGGCATTTAGATACTCACATTTTATTACAAAATGCATTTTATCTGAATTGTGAAGATAAATAAACAATAACAAATATGAGTGAGCTCATTACAGAACAGTAACTCGTAGGGATTTTCAACACCCTCATTACTGTCATGACCCTCATGACTCAGGTAATGACTCAGGTAGTTAATGACACTATGCAAATGAGCACTTCCAGCGAGCAGACGGGCACCTGGACAGACTGACCTCAAACTGTGAAACCAGGCTGAGCTGATCAAATGTGAATCCAGATTCTGTTTCTGCGCTGCTTATTTCTCGCCTCAAATGTTTTCTGAAACATATTTTAGTGTGCTGTTTAGCTCTAATATGAGAGAGTTTCTGACACGGCCGCCATGTTGAAAACGGACAATCCACACATAAGCACCGCCCAAAGTTGCAATTTCGACCAATAAGGTCCGGTCATCCACCAGGCGGTTCATTGGCTGGTCGCTGGGTCTGGATGCTTCCGCTGTTCTTTCCGACCTCGACCACGACAAACATTAGTCACTGTTCTGTTCCTCATCAGTGAGTGACAGGAGACAGTTTTCTCCTCCGCACTTCACTTCATCAGACACTCTGGACGCTCATCTGTGAGGCAGTGAGATGACAGGACATTTTACTCTGCATTGACCTGAATATGGAAGGAATACTTCTAAAGATTATTTTACTGTTTGCGGTAACTGTCACCGGTAAGTTTGTTGTTCGCTCCTTACTGATTTAATATTTTTTTATTGGCAGCATGCTTTGAACAGCCTCTCCGGGGACTTTGCTGAGAAGCATATATAAATATTGCATGGATGAAATGTGTTAAACCTGAGAAAGTTAAACTTCATTGTAATGGCTTTTTCCAAGACTAGAACTACTTTAGAGCACCTGGGTAAGATACAGAGTCCAGTAACTTTGTATTTACATGTGACTGCACTAGTGTGGTGGTGTGTGTGTGTGTGTAATTATATATATATATATATATAATGATGATGAGAGGCTATTAATAAAGCACATAAGTATTTACTTCCATAATGCTGGGGAAGAGGAGGTGTGTGAAGTTGAATCAAGCGAATAAGCTTGACTCTGCATCAAATATTATTTCAACGTTATTTATTACTTATTTTCATTATTGTTACATAACACAACAGTGTGGACACACAAGCTGAGCTGTTCTTATGAGGCAGAGTTTAAACACCTGAACTTGCATCGCAAACATTTTAAATGCTGCAAAGATGGCTGTTCTTCAGAGGCTTTCAAACTGTCTAAATATAATGTTTGTTTCCTCAGGAGAGCCTCCTGCCATGTACCAGGCTCAGCCGATAAAGGCAGCAGAAGGTGATGATGTGACTCTTCAGTGTCGTCTGGATCCTCCCGTCAACCTGTCTGCTTTCACTGTGGACTGGACGAGACTTGACAACAAGGATATCGTCCACGTCTATCGACATCAACAGGACGATCCTGATCCACAGACGGATCAATACAGAGCAGGACGACTCTCCTCCATGAAGACCTGATCAGAGGAGTCCTGACTCTGCACATCTCCTCAGTGAAGCTGTCTGACAGAGGACTTTACAAAGGCTTTGTCCCAAAGCTGAAGACCAGCTGTGTTTGACCTCATTGTTGGTGAGCATGCTGAGTTTAATACTGTTCAGGTTCATTTAATTCAAAGTGTATATAACGTTGTTCCTAAATTAGACCTCTTCATTAGAAACGGTGGGAAAAGACCAGCAGAACGAGACAAAGAGAGATGATTCCAGCACAACTGGATCTCCAGAGGAAGAAGAGACCGCGCCAGACGGTGTGGTAAATGTCTTTGAATATTTCTTTCTTTGTTCAACTTTATCCTCTGAGTGCAAGATGATCTGCTGTGTGGAAATGTGCAGCAGGTCTGAACATTTAATGTGAGCATTTTTACACAATTAACACATCAAGTTTTGGACAGTTTAATGTGCTGATGTTTTCTTTTAATCAATTTTTTTAATGCTGTGAGCACCACAAATGAAATTCACCTCCACTGTATCAAGGTGACGGAAATTTCGGACCCTGGGAAAATTAAACCAAAATCTATTTATATGTCCATGTGTTAAAATTCCCCACACATATGACCTTGAACCTGCCCTTCTTCCAAACTCAGCATCTTCTCTGAAATCTTTTCAGGTGGTGGAAACAAGATCGCTGGTCGTGCTGGGATCATTTCCTCCGTCATTCTCTGCGTTGTTGTTGTTGTTCTGCTTCTGAGGAAGAACGGAACGATCCGTAAGTTACAACATTTCATATCAATGGTGTTTCAGGGTTTAACAAAAAACACAAAATAACCGATCAAGGCAGCTGGAGACAAGGGAGGAAAAATTTAAATTTTTCTCAAGGGGGTCTGGTTGCTTTGACGAGAGCGATATAGTGACTGTTTCTAGTTAACCGAAAACTGTCTATCTCTTTAGGTGCACTGTGTTCTAATTGGCTTTTTGCTATGATTGCAGCTTAAAACCACATTTATTCAGGCTGAGATGTGAAGGTGTATTTATTTCCTCTGCAGTTAACATCTTCTTCCTTTAACAAGTGTCACAAACTGCTTTTCTTTCTCTCCGAGTGTATGAGGACGCTCGGAGGAAGGAGGGAGCAAAAACCAGAGACAAACAAAATATGAATAAAAAACCAAAGTTTTCAAATATTCAGGTCAAATATTTATACAGGAGAACATCAATCAACTTCTATACATCGATAAAATAAACAGTCCAGACTCCTGGGCCCAAATATGCAAAATAATATTCTACCTGTGAAACATTAGCATCAGTTGACATTGTCATTGTAAGTGTGTTTAGCATGCTGTTAGCATTTAATGTTGGGTGTTCCTAATAAACTGGCAACTGTGTAGAGTGTAGAAGCCCTCTTGCTCCAGAGCAGCGTTCAGTTTTTATTCTCCATTTATCTGGAACAAACTCCCAGAAAACTGCAGGTTTGCTAAACTCTCAGTTCTTTAAATCAAGACTTTCTTTTTACCACTGCCTTTAATTTTTATTAATCAAATTTAATGCTGTAAATTAATAACCTACACTGCACTGTAACTTGTATTTCATTTTATCCTGTTTTATTTTCTTTTCAAGTCTTTTAAAACTTATATTTCAATGTCCTTTTATATTCCCTTATGTTACTTTTATGTTTTATGTAATGCACTTTGAATTGCCTTGTTTTTGTGATCTACAAATAAACTTGCCTGGCCTTATTGTTCTGTTATTGTAATTTGTCATTCACTTTTTATCTGTTTTAAGTATGTAACTCAGCCCTAAGGGGATTTAATGACCATTATAGGTCTTTAGTTTGTAGAAACAGTCATATTTTGACAGGAGTCTGGCGCTAAACAGACCGATGTAACAAAACACTCTTAAATTCCCGGGAATATTATATTCCGCCAAATTATTCTTCTATTGAAACTCGCGCCACAGGCCTGCCGGCATCCTAACACTGACGCAACGTCCGCCCGTGACGTCGAGCCAATGAGCTGTTGCTGACCTTTAGCCGACCAATCAGAGAGCAGCGGCGGCAGACACAGCTGATCCAGGAGGAGGATTTGGCGCTAGTTTGAGCTCAGTGTGCGGAAGAAGACAGACGGATAGAGACGCGGAGAGGACTTCAAGACGAGAGAAAACACTCATCTCTGAGCTGAGAAGTCGTCTGTTAACTTTTCGTAAAGGTAAATTTAGCACCAAAGCGACAATTTAAGTGAAAGACGTGAAAATGTTCGTTTATCGCAACCGGAAGTCCTTTTCTTCGGGGTTGTTTTTTAGTAGTTTGTCGACTGAAACAGCGATGAGTTTTTTCACGTTTTGTGTCGACAAACCTAGAATTCAGAAGGATTACAATGTGAACACTTTATCTTTTAAGTTGAACTTTCATTATGTTAGTGTTTAATTTTGGGTGTTCTGGGGTTTTTACGTAAGTCGCCGCGGTTGGACCTCTGCCGTCTTGGCGCCATTTAACCAAACTAACTTATTGTTTCCTCTGCGGGAACATTTGAATGTAAAGTTAAATATACTGTTGGCTAAGTATTTACTAACTTTAATATACTTAAAACACTTAACATGTTTAGTTTTAACAGCCATGTTACCGTTTAAAGCTAATCTGGTGTTTAACACGAAGCTAAATTCAGTTCACTGAAACTTTATCTCTCATCTACGTATGTAAGATCAACCAAACGTGGACAGTCGCGTGAGAGTAATGTTTGTACTTAACACCTTTTTTGTGTTTTAAGGTTTATTGTACCTCGTTTGCTGTCGTAGGCAACAAAGCTTGAAGCTGCCATTATCAGATGCTGTGTCATCTACTCGCTGGGTGTTTCAGTACAAAATGTGATACTTGATTAGTTTCCTGTAACTTATATTCTGAGTTTACTTCTTCTCAGATGCAAAGAAAGGCTCAACTTTAATGTGAAGAAGAGGTGTTATATGATAAATACATCTGTGTGTCCAGTCACGTGTAGTTATTATGTGACCACAACTTTGTGTGTTTTACAATCTTTGTACGTAAACAGTGCAAGAATCAAATAAAGTACAACAAAATTAAAATATAAATTAATATATGAACTGTCTGTCCAAAGAATCGGTTGGCAACACTCTGAGGTACATAACTGTTTACCGCCAGTTAATTTACAATAGATTATCTTTTGTGTTTCAGATTAAACACAAGATGCCCAGCACACGCTCTCAGGGTCGGGCTCAGCCCACGCTGTCGTTTCCTCGCCGCAAATCCTGCAGAGTTTCCTCTCGCTCCAAGGCGCCACAGCTGGACAAATCTCCAGCTCCATCACCAACCAAGCCAGAACCCAAACCTCTCGTCCAGATCGGCCCCTCTCCCCGAGACGCCTCGCCGATCGGCCCACTCCTCTCTCGCCCAGACGTCCTGCAGCCCAGCCGCCATCATCCCCAGCCTGCAGCCACGGCTTCCACTCAGCCCCCGAAAACGCACAGGTGAGAGATCCCTGGTATTTTACTCCCTTCAGCAGCCTATATAGCATTACAGAACTTAGTTGGGTTTTAGGTTCTGTAAGTAAACTTTATTGCTTACGTGCTGCTTCACCACACACACACGACAGCAAGAACTTCAGGGACGACAACAACAACAAAGCTATTTAGGTGAGCATTTGGCTAAACGAAATAATTAATCTGAGAGGATTCAAGTTGTTTGAGTGTTCGTTTTTGAATAGTTTAGGTTATTTGCAGCTTTAGTTACACATTCACTTTCTACCAGCTAACACTCAGCAACAACTGTTCATTCAGCGTATTTCCCAAGATGTCAGACTTTTGCTTTAAGCCTAAATCTGAGTGGATTTGCGACTGAAATCTGCAGCAGAACCCAGCGTGTGTTTCTGTTTCCTTCATTAATAAAAACAACACGTTTCTGGCTGAAATAATGTGAATGTTAGATGGTACCCAGCAGTGAATAATGGAATTATACATGACTTTTCTTTGTGCTGATATCGGCCAGTAACAAAGACCAAAGTGATCTACAAACTGCTTCTTTTGTCCAACCAACAGCTTTTGTTAGTCTGTTTTTTCTTTATGAATTCAAGGTCACTGTCTTTAATCCCTTTGGCCTGTTGAACTGTCTCCTGTCACAGAAAGCAGCTCCTCCACATAAACTTCACCTGGAACTTCACCTTGTATTTTTTTTCCTCTGTAGGTGACGACAACGGCTGTAACCTCGGCGCCTCCTTTCTGGGTCACCGCCGAAGCTGAGCAAGCCGACCCCGGCTTCTCCCCGAAAGCTGGGCTTTGACGAGAACTCGCCGGTCTTAGCTCGCCGACGGCTGGTCCCATCCCACGGCGGGCGCTATCTCCCACCGCCATATCGTCCCAGATGGGACAGGAAACACCTGCTGGAAGCCCCGCCTGCCAAAGCTCTGAGAAGAAACCGCCGGTCGTCGACTGCAGAAAGTAAGCGCTCTTCAGTGTTAAAAATTAAAATGTCTAGTTTTGTTAGATCTTGTGTGACAAATGTTTGTTAAAGTAAATCGAGCCACGGTGATCTTCGTTAAAGTAACCCCGGATCTGACTTCTTCTCCTCCCAGAGTCGAGGTTTGTGAACGTGAAGCAGGCGCTCCACACCGCCGTCCCCGAGCGGCTCCTGTCCCGGGAGACCGCGCGGCGTCCATCCGGTCTTTCCTGAGGAGAAGGCCCTGCAGCCTCCCCGGCAGCCTCTACATCTCCGGAGCCCCGGGGACGGCAAGACGGCCTGCCTCAACTGTGTCCTGCAGGAGATGAAGGTGCTTTTAAAATAGATTTAACTGCCTGATTGGGACACGTTTGTAGTTCACAGTGAAAGAATTTGTAGTCCTGAGAAATTAGATGTGAGTAGAGGCATGAACTGAAATAATCCGGCATTTTTATACTGTAGTATCGCTACTTTTACTAGAAAAGATCAGACATATTATTCCAACTCAATCAACTGTACAAGAGGGAGGAGGAAAGAAGTCTGCGTAGGTTGCAGGTCTAGTTTTTTATCTCTTTAATCCGACATCAGAATTTTTGGTGACATGAAGAGACATCCGGGGTATGTTGTTGTGGTCAAGTGTTCCTTGAATGTGTTATAACGGCTTCTTTTGTCCCGTCA